TCCAGATCTTGACATGTGTAAACAGTGCTATTGGATGAACAGAGGTGCTCCCATGCCCTTTCAGATTAATATTTTTGTGTTCCTGGGGTAGATTGCTAAATGATACAGAAGTTAGATTCCTAATATTTGAGAAGTCTTGAAACCATTTTCCAAAGAGGCTGAACCATGGGATATGAGGGTTGAAGCAGGAGTGAATGAGAGTTCTTTTTCACTACCTCCTTGCCAACAAGGATTGCATCCCTTCTTTTCAATATCGGCCGTTCTCACTGGTGTGAGGTGACATGTCATTATAGTTTCCCATTTCCATTTCCATGATAGCTTTGATGGACCTGTTTACCCATGACTATTGGGCATTTTTCTCCTCATTTAAGAAGTATCTCCTCTCCATATTTTGTACTGGGGTAATTACCTCTGTTGTTGTTGAGCTCTGAGAATGCTTTTTGTTTCTTTGAGATTAGCCCTGTGATGTATAGTGGGCAGATATATTCTCCCATTCAGGAAAATATATTTTATATTGGTTTCATTTCTCTCATGGTGCAGAGGATTTTTAAGTTGGATTTGGTTCAATTTCTTGATTTCTGCTTTGGTTTTTTTTTCAATGAGGTCATTGAAAATTTCTCTGAGGCCAAGATCTTGAGGAGTCCTGCCTGTGTTTTCCTCTCTGTATTTAATCCAGACAGGTTTGATGTTACGGTATTTATTCCATTTTGAATTAACCTGTCTGTATCTTGTGAAGTAGAAATCTAAGTTCATTTGTTTTGAATGTGGCAATCCAGTTTTCCCAGCTTTGAAGCAGGTTTTATCCCCTTGATGCAGCCAGGCCTAAGGAACTGATAATCAGAGAAGGCATTCTTTATAGAGGTTAAAATCTTGAGTCAAAGAAATCAAAATTTCAGTATGAACTACCCAGCCTTATTGTATCCATTGGGGATTTTCTGGGTACTTTAGTTAGCTTTTTCAGGCTTCACCTTTTTCATCTATTAAATGGGGGAAAAAAGTACTTGTTGGAATGCTTCCATGAGATTATTTTTGAAGGAATGTTTACAGGCATAAATAGTCCTTCATTCTTCACTAGAGTCCTCAAGATTGCAGTAAATTAAATTTCCACTAAAATATTTCTTTTTCTGATAAAGGAAAGGATGTCGTCCCTCTCCAGTGGATTCTGGAATTTACTTTAAAATATTATGGCATTTCTACCCTGCATGAGGAATTCTTATTGTGTTCTAAGATTTTAAAGTCCAACTGCCAGAAATAGTTTCTAGCTTTTAAAAGTCCAAGGAATAATAAATCTAACTCCAAATTTTTATTGCAAAACAAAAAGAAAGTATATCAGGCCTTTAGATTCACGGTGACTCTTTTTCTTCCTCTTCTTGCCCGCTCCATCTCAACTCATCTGTCCCTCTCAACCTCCCACCGCAAATGGATCCTGAATGCTTAGTTGACTTGGCCATTAAGAAACTAGTCTGAGAACTTTCCCTCCACTAACGACTTCCAGACTCCAAACATAGGCCACCTGTGCATTTGCCAGTTATCCCCAAACATCTCCCCTCCCGCAGGCTGAAGCCTACTCCATGGCCCGAATTTGAAGAACAAAATTTAGGTTGCTAGTTAAGTTCTCCTAACCTGGCACCATGCATAACTGATGTTGACACATCATGTGAAAGATAACAAGTCCGCCATTGAATTTTACCTAAATGGAGTGACTGAAAACTAAAATGCCAAGAGTTTCTAGACGTTATGTTGTAGTCGTCTAATCTATTGATGGTTTTATAAGGATAGATTGCTTCCCACTCTCTCTTTCATTCAAACCTGACATTAAAATTGCTATTGGGTCTTGAGACTCAATTTTTCTCTATTCAGCTTGCACACATACAAGTCTCCACGTATGATAGATAACATGTTAAGTTCTAAATTCATCACACTCTGGTGGAGAAATATAGATTCTATTTTTTGTTCAGGAGGGAGTCATCATGGCACACACAAGTGAGTTTGAGGGAAGGCTGCATCAGCGCTTTTAGCTCACTCTGAGCAGGGCAAAATGTCCCCCCACCTTTGAGATCCAAATGGCTGAACAATGGTTTAACAGACAGACAGGCTCACCCAAGAAAAAGACCAATTTGGGAACCGGAGCTATAGCACAGCACATAGATTATTTCGCCTTGCACGTGACCAACCCGGGTTCAATCCCTGGTATCCCATATGGTCCCCCAAGCACCACCAGGAAATGTTTCAATTATATTTTCCCCTGACCTCTGAAATTCCTGAGTGCAGAGTCAGGAGTAACCCCTGAGCACCGCTGGGTAGGACCTGAAAAGTCAAAAAAAAAAAAAAAAGAAAAGAAAAGAAAAGAAAAAGGAATAAGACCAATGTGGTCTCACGGAGCTGCTAAATAAATGTGAAATCTCTGAAGTGTCCAGGGCCACAAGCTTGAACACTTTTTAGAGCCAGGAACAATACATTCGGAAGGACTTTGGACACTAACTTAGTGAAGGAGTGCTAGGCCGTGTGGGACTCAGTGCCGGCCTCCCTCCCGCAGGAAGAGCTCCTGCACATCACAGCCAAGATTGATTTCCTGCCTTCAGGAGGAAGAGGGATTCAGAGAAGCCCAAGCCGCGACTTTTGCTCAAACAACTTTGATTCAATATAATTAATAGGCCACTTTGGCGCATTTGGGAAAGAGCTGTCCTGAGTCCTGACAATATCTCACAATATATTGCTTCCCTATTAGGGAATAGTTCACAGATTATAAATGGCAGAGAAGAAGCTAGAGGGAAATTTTTCAATTATATTTTCACCTGACCTCTACTTCCTGTTTTATTTTTTTAAAATCTCATCTCTATCTCCAATGAAAAATGGAACCCTCGTTGTAGGTCTATCAATCATACTTTGTTCACCACTCCTGTTTTTGTTTGTAAACCAAGACAATGGCACCAAGAGACCGCATAGTTATTACAGGATAGAAAAATCTGAGAAACATCAGGAAATTAACTTCAGTAATATTATAGAGTTCATGTGGATTTGAGCCTGAAGGGGGTTTCCAATGAAATTTTGGTGATTTTTCCCCACTGCTCTACAAATAATAGAGGTTAATTGAAACTTCAAGCATCCACTATTTCAAAATTTGTCTTACTTATATATGTTGATATCTTAGAAAATGTATCCTAACAATTGACTACATGTATTCATGTGTTAGCTCCCATATTTCACAGAGGAAGCAAAGTTCCATTTCAGGGTGTTTGGGAAATTTTTGGAGTGGCAGTAACTAGTTAATATTTGTTCGAGTAGAGAGTTTAGAACCTTCAAAATTGAATTTAAAGATGGTTTTCTTTAAAGTTTAGGTAGCAAGGTTATAGTAGTGTTAATGCTTGTAGTATTGACATATAGTCATTTCTCCACACTGCCACCATCATACCCAATATCTTCCATCAATTTTCTTTTCCCAGTTCACCTCATATTCTACCCCCAAAACACAAAAACATAAATTGGAAAAGATAAGTGTATGTTTATGTTCATCACAGTATTAAGTACAATAGTCAGGGTATGCAAACAACCCAAGAGTCCAACAAAGTACAAATGGATAAAGAAGTTAAGGTCTATATGCACAATGGAATATTATGTACCTAGAAGAAAGAATTATGTCTAAAGTTTTTAGCAGTTTGGAACTAGAGTATATCGTGTGATGCTGTTTTGTTTAAATACAAGAAAATTATTTAATGCTAAGCTATAGTATACCATGTTTTGGACAGATATGTTCAAAGATAATAGATTTAACTCTGAAACAAAAATTGGTATTCTTATTTTGCTCTTTCTCATGTACAACACAACTTTGTGACATAAACTATTCTTTCATTCATAAAAAATATTTTATGCAAATGGTTTGGGAAGTTGCCTGTCTGGTATATTGGAAGGATTAGCTATTGTTTTTATTGTTAAAATGCCATTCTGGAATTTTCTGTGTGTTGATATGTTGCTTAGAAATACCCCATGCTTGTATCTATAATGATAGTGAGCACCCTTCCTGATTAGCGAAAGCTTTTCTTTGATAAGCTTATAATTCGTGGATTTATTTGTACAATATTTTAATTTATCTAAATTTTTAATAGTAAAATTTTGTAGTGGGCTTGAGCAATAGCACAGCGGGTAGGGCGTTTGCCTTGCAAGCGGCCATCATGGCCGACCCGAGTTCGATTCCTCCGCCCCTCTCGGAGAGCCCGGCAAGCTACCGAGAGTATCTCACCCGCAGGGCAAAGCCTGGCAAGCACCCCGTGATGCATTCGATATGCCAAAACAGTAACAACAAGTCTCACAATGGAGATGTTACTGGGCCCACTCGAGCAAATCGATGAACAACGGGAGGACAGTGACAGTGACAGTAAAATTTTGCAGTATTCTTAAAATGTCCCTAAAGCCACATATTTTCTCCCCAAAGTTGAAGATTTTTTCCTAAAAACAGATCATTCATTATGATAAGTTTTATTGATAATGCCTGGTTGCCTTTTATTATAGTTTCTGGGGACATGTTAAACAAATCAAAGCATGTAAAAATGATACTCACAACACGCTCTTTATTTTATAATCTACAGCTAATTTCCAGTCTCAGCACTGAATCCCCCATGCTCAAGGTGGTAAGATTCTGAGTCAGGAAATCTGAAAGTTTGTATTTGCTGAATTATAGGGGCTAGAGTTATAGCACAGCGGTAGGGCATTTGCCTTGCATGTGGCTGGCCTGGCCAACCCGGGTTCAATTCCTCTGCCTCTCTCAGAGAGCAAGCTACTGAGAGTATCTCGCCTGCATGGCAAAGCCTGGCAAGCTACCCGTGATGTATTCAATATGCCAAACACAATAACAACAAAGTCTCACAATGGAGACGTTCCTGGGCCCACTCGAGCAAATCGATGAACAACGGGAGGACAGTGCTACAGTGCTAAAGTGAGTTATAGGTCACCCAGCTGTGCCTACCCACAGGTAACTTCTCCACCCAGCTGTTGGGTGAGAGCAGGTTAATTATCTGCGTCTACAGAGAAGTGTCATCCTTGCGCAGGGGCCATGCTAATCTTCTCTGTATCGTTCCAATTTTAGTATATGTGCTGCCGAAGCGAGCACATATACTAAAATTGGAACGATACATGGGCTGGAGCGATAGCACAGCGGGTAGGGCGTTCGCCTTACAAGCGGCCAACATGGCCGCCGACCTGAGTTCGATTCCTCCGCCCCTCTCAGAGAGCCCGGCAAGCTACCGAGAGTATTCGATATGCCAGACACAGTAACAACAAAGTCTCCAATGGAGACGTTACTGGGCCCGCTCGAGCAAATCGACGATCAACGGGAGGGCCTTTATCTCTTTATCTTATACAGAGAAGTGAGTGATCCACAGAGCTAAGGAGGAAACATGGGATGTCTCGAAATTCTTTCTAGATAGAAAAGGGGTATTTTCTTGTGCGCTCAGCTCCCAAACAGTGTTATAGCACAAATCCAACATAGCAAAGCCCACAAGCTTCCTAAAAACTCAGACCATTAGGTGGTTGTCTCTCTAGGTGGGGAAAAGGGAGTATCATTGCCCACTTAGGTCAAATTTCCTGAGCATGTTTCTTGCAGGTATCCACTGACCTTCCAGCAACTGTCTGAGCTTGCTGTGAGTTGTCTTCTTTTGCAAACAAGGCATCTGAAAAAGCTCAAAGTAGGGTGATCATTTTACCAGCTTTAATTCTCTGACTTAATTCTATCTCCAGGAAAGGAAAATCATTTAACTATCCTAGAGTAACAATGTTTACAGCAAGATGGAGCATTCCTAATCTCTGCTCCTGTGCCCCGTGGATTCCCTTTAAGCCATAATCAAGGTTTACAAGAACTGTTCCTCTGAAGAGCAGGCAACAGCTATTCTCAAATGGGCTTTCACCGAGACAATCCAGATGGAGGCAGCTAAGCAATTTGTGAAAAATCCACAGTATCACAAGTCAAGTCCTATATGGCCTAGGCACTTCCTGTTGGCTTTCGTGTAACGGCTTATTTTTTCCTTTTGTAGAACAATTGAAAACATATTGCACATGTAAATTGCTTGGCTTCTTAACTCTCGAGAGTTGCTATTGCCTTTCATGATTACTTTGCAAGCTTTCAAACTAAGTTTTGCATGCTCAGTGCATCTCTCTCAGCTCCGATTCCTTGGGAAGTGTCTTACTTGGGACACTTCAGAACCACTTTGCTAGTAGTAAATCTTGTCTTTTTCCACCGCTGTACTCCCTCCTGAAATTTCCTCCTCCTTTCTCTGGGTAATGATGCAGACATGCAGGGCTGCCATCTGCGTGTTTAGCTCAAGTCGCTTTCATCACCAAATGTGATTGTTTTCTAAAACTAGTTTTATTTCCCTTAAGCTACCGATATGTATGTTCCACTGAAAAGTGATTATTTTCATTTCAGGTACTATAGTTTCTGAGGACCTGCCCCAAATCCTAAGTATCAATATTTAAAATTTTTTAATTATCAAAAAGTGCACTCCAGTTTTAAGAAATATAAAGATGTGAAGATAGATGTGGGTAAAATGTAAAGATCAACACTAAATCTATCATATATTGATAACCTCAGAATATAATTTGGATATATATATATAAATTGAGATGAAATTCACATATATAGCACTGTCCTGTCCACTGAAGCACTGTCCTCCCATTGTGCATCAGTTAGCTCAAGCGGGCCCCAGTAATGTCTCCATTGTGAGATTGCTGGTACTGTTTTTGGCATACCGAATACGCCACGGGGAGCTTGCCAGGCTCTGCTGTGCAGGCAGGATACTCTCGGTAGCTTGCCGGGCTCTCCAAGAGGAGCGGAGGAATCGAACCTGGGCTGTCTGTGTGAAAGGCAAACGCCCTCCCACTGTGCTATTGCTCCAGCCCTGAAATTCACATATATAACAAAAATAAATCAACAACATTGAAAGTCATCTGATATATTTTAAGTTTTATGTTAGATTGAAAACAAAGACTACTCATCTGATATTTAAGGGTTGTGTGATATTTCATACAAAACTCTAATTTATTTAACCACCATTATTAAAACTGTAACTTACTCCCTGATTTATATACTACAACAAATTTGATGCGATAAACAGAGTTGTATATAATATTCTTTTGGCATGACATTTCTAGAGGTGGGTTTTTTCAATGAAGATTATTACCCTATGTTAGGTCTTACTGGTGTATCCCATGTACAGAGAACAAAACAGATGTGGTTTCACTCTGATGTCAGTTATAATCACCTAAAAATGTAGGCACTCAGGCCATTTTTGCCAAATTATAAAGTTGGCATATATTCAACAGTTGAGTGTTGAATTGTAGTATATGTGTTTTCCATATGGTTGGGGAACACAGACACAAAAAGAAATAAGATTTACATTCATAATGAAAAATATATAAACAGTAAAGTTAAAGACATTTATATAAAAATAATAAGGTAAAATAATCACAATCACGATCACAATCGTCCTGTTGTTTGTCGATTTCCTCGAGCAGGCACCAGTAATGTCTTCTTCTTCCTAGCCCTGAGATTTTTTTTAATAATTTATTTATTTATTGAATCACTGTGGGAAAAGTTACAAAGCTTTCAGGTTTAGGGCTCAGTCATGCACATATCAAACACCTTTCCCTTTACCAATACTTATTTTGTACCATGAAGAACCCCAATAAAACCCCACCCCCCACCCCTCCCAATGCCTGCGAGGCAGATGAATTCTAGTTGACACTCTATCTGCTTTGATTAGATTCATTGTTTCAATAAAAGATGCACCACTATTATTTAGAGTTTACCCCCTCCCCCCATATCAGACATGCTGAGAAAGCATTGTGAAGTGATTCGCTTTCTACAGCTGGGTTCAAGAATTAAATGTTGGTTTTGGATTTCTGCTATTTTGCTAATTAACCCTGGAAGTATTTCTACTGAGAGTCAGATAATTAAGAAATTGGTTTCTGTGCTCTGGAGTCGTGGCCGTGCTGGAGAGCCGCTCGTGGGGGGCAACAGGCAGCCTCGGTAGGGCGTGAAGGACAGACCGGAACGCCCCCCTTCCCATGAGGTTTTAGTTGCCCCCACACCCCCGGTTCACACCTGCTCTCCACAAGGCACCCATGCGGCCGCCATCTTCTTTCCAGAGAGGAGAGGGCGAATGGGGCAACACCCTTTCCCCTCCGGGCAGACATGATGGCCTGGATTAACGCATAGTCTGTTCACTTTTCTGCTCCAAGCTGCTGGGTTCTGCATTAAGTCCTTGTGCTTCTGGGGCCGTGGCCATGCTGGAGAGCCGCTCGTGGGGGGCAACTGGTGACCTCGGTTGGGCATGAAGGACGGACCGGAACGCCCCCCTTCCCATGAGGTTTTTGTTGCCCCCGCACCCCCGGCTCATACCTGCTGTCCACAAGGCTCCCATGCGGCTGCCATCTTTCTTTACAGAGGGAGGAGGGCGGAAGGGAGCAACACCCTTTCCCCTCCAGGCAGACATGATGGCCTGGATTAACACATAGTCCGTTCACTTTTCTGCTCCAAGCTTCTGGGTTCTGCATTAAATCCTTGTGCTTCTGGGGCTGTGGCCGTGCTGGAGAGCCACTCGTGGGGGGCAACTTGTGGCCTAGGTAGGGCGGGCGTGAAGGACGGACTGGAACTCCCCGCTTCCCATGAGGTTTTAGTCGCCCCCACACCCCCGGCTCATACCTTAGCCCTGAGATTTTAAAAGAGCCATTTCAATGCTCTTTCAGGATTAGCAGAATGAGACCCATCATTGTTACTGGTATTTGGCATATTGAGTACGACATGGGAAGTTTGCCAAACTCTGCTGTGTGGGCAGTATACTTTTGTTAGCCTGCCATGTTCTCCAAAGAAAAAAATAAGATGTCGTGCGGCCGCAAATACGGCCGCGCGCTTCCGGGAGCTGGGTTTTATAGTCTCTGTATCTTGGCTGTTGATGGGACCAACCTGGCGCTGGTGGCAACTGGTGGGTGTGACGCCTATCTACTGGAAGATGGGGGGGAGAGGGTCTGGGTAGAGAAGGCCCAGTCCCAATCCAGTAGGTTTGGAGACCTCAGCCCAGGGACCCGCATGCCTGGGTTCCTCTGCCAGTTCTTTCATGCATGAGGCCAGTCCGGACGTGTGGAGAGTGGTCCCAGCATGGCCGCAGCTGGCTCTGGAGGTCCTCAGCTGCTAGGGCTCTGCTCGGGGTGGGGGGGGGGGGGGAGAAACTCACCCCTCCCCCCTCCCAGGGGCCCCGGTGAGGACAGCCAGGCGCGGGGGCAGGTTAAAATAATAAGCATGATCAATTTCAGACCTTCATGAGTGTTGTGTGTTAAGTGTTATGAAGAAAGTATGTCAGGATAATGATAAAGAGAAGTTGGGCATACTGATTTTATTGAAGAATTTGAGTCTGGGTTCAAATAGGCGAAACAGGTCGGTGTGTAAATGTTGAAGGAAGCCCTCATAGGCTGAAACAGCATCATCAGGCAAAAGTTAGCCTGAGCCTGAGTCGATCTGTTAAAGGCAAGGCGGGTCCATCCTGGCCTCAAGAGAGCACAGGAAAAGTAGTGTCTGTGGACAGTGGGACTAAGCAGGACTCAATAATGTAACCATAGTGATCCATGACTGTTTGAATTTTTCAATTGAATTTTATTTTTATATGAACATATTTACTCTCAAAGTTTGGGCACACTGCATCTTCTAAGGGAATTATTCTTTTAGGTAGCACTGTCCTCCCGTTGTTCATCGATTTGCTTGAGCGGGCACCAGTAACATCTCACAACAAATTGTGAGACTTGTTGTTACTGTGTTTGACACGTCGAATACATCACAGGGAGCTTGCCAGGCTTTGCCATGCAGGCGAGATACTCTCAGTAGCTTGCCGGGCTCTCTGAGGGGGCAGAGGAATCGAACTCGGGTCAACCATGTTGGCTGCATGCAAGGCAAATGCCCTACCTGCTGTGCTATCGCTCCAGCCAAAAGATGAAATATTAGGACTCTCTTTTCCAAATGGCATATTGGTCTTTTCTGTTTTTTCAGCATTCCTATGTGTTTGCAAATTTAATATTTTACATTGAAAAACAGTGTAGCATGAATGGGCTTTTATTTTTTTATTT